CGGTTGATCCGTGGAAATCGTCGACGAAAATTTGTATGTCGACGAAATGGTCACGAAAATTTGTATCCACACACACACACTCACACACACATACATCCATTTTTTCAAAAGTAATCCAAAATGTTCAGAAACTTCTGAAACGTAAAGATATATAAAAATTTTCATTTTCTAAACCTATAATTTTATGTACGTATAAAACATATATTTTCAACCTAAACTTTTTTTTGTCTTACTGCTAATGAGCCATCTGGTAATGTACACAGTGTTTTAACTAGGATTAAGTATACATTTTACTTAATCGGGCAACACAATGTTGTGTCATCAGGCAACACTAAAAAAGACCTCGTATTAAAATGCACCCAACTAGATAATTTTATAACTCGAGTATAATTTGTACCTTGAGGATTCTAAATAAAATTTTGGTTTCGAAATGTAAGAATAGTATGTGTCTGAAATTATCCCCAAAATAGTATTACCCGATTTTGCAAATTATTTTCTTTCTATTTCCCGTAGGGTAAGTTATAATAATCGCAAAAAAGTGAAAATGAAAATTTTTGCACATCTTTACGTTTCAGAGGTTTCTGAACATTTTGGCACAACTTAGAAAAAATGGATGTATGTGTGTGTGTGGATAGAAACTTTCGTCAACGATTTCGTTAACACGGTTCCAGCAATTTGCCTTAAGACACGATACCATACACCACTAGTTTTTGCAATCATTGAGGTCACCCGCTTTTTATTATCTACTGCATATATCTTACTTTGTTAAAAAATATTAAAGAAAATTTGAAATTATAAATATGACGAATGTAAAATTTTAATCTCAGTCTTACAAAGTTGGGAAAAAGTTACAAAAAATACAAAAAAATTAAATGCATCTAAGTATGAAATAAATTATTATACAATTATTAAATTTATCAATCGGGCAAAACAGATGCAAGGATAATTATTAGAAATATAATAGAAGATGCAATATAATAAAAGTCTCTACTATTTACATACAACTTTTAGTACAGTTTTGTACCATCACGCAATCCTATAATAAATTTGACCCAATCTGGCTACACTGACGCACTATAATTTCAAACAACTGTTTTCACACTTTATGGTGCTTTTTCGTATATATTGATATTTACAAACTAGTGGGGCGCATGGCATCGTGCCTTAAGGCAAATTGCTGGAACTACCCGTACCAAAAATTATTATTTTTTTAAAAAGATTAACATTTTTGAAAAAAAATGTTACTCTGAAAAAACTAGATTTTTGAGAAACTATAAACTTTTGACAAAAATTTACTTTTTTTGAAAAAAAGACTTTGAAGAAAAATTTATTAACTTCCCGTAGGGTAAGTTATAGTAATCGCAAAAAAATCAAAAATGAAATTTATTATATATCTTTACGATTCAAACCCTTCTGAACATTTTGGTATACCTTAGATGCATGTGCCCCACTAGTCATTTTCGATTTTTTTGCGATAGAATTTTGGAAAGTTAATAAAAGGCTCTATTATTTACATACAATTTAGTACAGTTTTGAACCATCAGGCAATCCTATAATAAATTTCACCCAATCTGGCAACACTGACGCATGATAATTTCAAACAACTATTTTCACACTTTTCGGTGCTTTTTCGTTTGTATATATATTTACAAACAAGTAGCACACACTGCCCGTCATAAAAAATAATGAACAATAAAAATAGAGAGATGTAGAAAATAGATTTTTGAAAAATAAGTAAACTCACCCGTCATTTCTAATTTTCAGTTCTATTTCCACAATGTATCTTCGTCACCAGTACAAATATCACGCCAAAAACGCCAACTATTCTTCCCCGGTCCTGTCAACTTCAAACACACCGCCCCCAAGACCTCCAAGACAGAACCAGAACTTCCGGAGACCTGGACAACAAAATTTCAATACAAATCAAAACTTTCAACAAGGATTCAACAATCCTAATTTTAATAATCA